CCATGTCAGGCCTCAGGATGTGGTGAGAAGCCAGCATCAGGCTGGTCTAAGACAGACTGAATGAGGAGTCACATGCCAGAAGAGATGCTGCAATGCTGAGGTGCGTTCTTGGAACTTGTACTCTTCTGGGGTCTTCCTGGATGTACCTACACAGTTAAATCAAGGCAGGCTAGAGAGCAACTTAGTCCTCATGCCAGCACTCGAGCTCAGAGCCAGCTCTCCCCAAATCCCCAGTCCACATTCACAGCACATGGGCATGGCCCTACATCTCCTCTGGGTCCCATGAGCTGTCTCTAAGCCGTACCTGTTATTTGGGGTGGAGGAGCAGTTGGCAGGGCAAGAGGCCAGTCTGAAACAGAAGCAGGGAACAAGCTAGAAACAGCAGAGCAAATGTTTGGGACCACTGCTCTACTGTGTTCCCTGGTCCCCTCTTAACTAATAGGGCATATATCCAGCCACTCAATGCCTGCAGAGCATTACGTGCCACTCAGCACCACCGCGCCTCTTCTTCTCTTGCACCCCCCATGCCAGGCACCCCAGATCCAGGGGTTCGCAGCAGCCCTGAGTACAGAGACCACAGCAGGACAACACTGAGACAAGGGCTGGGGAGGGTAGTCCCAAAACGTGAGACTTGTCTGACTAAGCGGTCCGAATCTGAACCACCACAATGCCTAACTCATTGGAGACCTTCCCTGACTTGAAAAACTCCATCCTCGGTGAAGTACCCTGCCTCTACATACATGATGCCTGACAAGATGCCTAGCGAAGGCATCCACTGAAACCCGCTAAGCCTGAAGCCACCTGTGCTTCCCAGCTGGAGAGTGCTGGGGTGCAAGCAGCCAGGGCTGGGGGCTCGTACACCCTGAGCATACTCCAGTCCCACCGGCTTGGATTAACCACACACTTAAAGTACCGGATTTAGTGTCCTAAGGATCTAGGCCTCCTATGGACTTTGGATAATTTATTTTGATATGGAAACCAAAAGCAATGAAGCTTATACGTATTATCAACAGTTCAGAATTCCATGTCAAACAGTAGTGGACTTGGCTGATTCTAAGGCAATGTATGTGTTCCTTTTTTTAGTATTACTCTTTGCTATCTTTCCTGCTGCTTGAATGTACCTCCTAAATGAATTGTCCATTGCCCACATGGTTTTCAAATATAATTTATTTTTAGCTAACGTGTTCCCGATAGACGGAACAAAATGTGTTAAAAAAATAAAAATGAAATTAAAAAATCTGCCCCTCAGCAAACAAGTTCCCCCGAATCTTTATAAAAGAAGGCCAACTTTTTTCCTTCTAGTTCCCCTGCTAAATTTCCACAAGGCCATTAATCGTAAAAAAACCAAGCTGCATAAATTGTAGAAAAGCCAAAGGAGCTGCCTATATGTTTTAAAAAAAGGAAAAGTTCCTGCCAGAACCTCCCCCAACCCAATTACCTTTCCTCTGTCAGTTGTGAGGACTCTTTCTCAGCCTTAGTACACACCTTGTCTCCTGGCTGGCAATGTACAGGCTGAGGTAAGCATAAGCCACCGCATTACTATTTCAAACAGTCATGTCTTCCTTTTGCATTGGTGTATAGTTAAATCAATACACTTAAAACACTCCATGCTCCTTTTCTTTTGTACTTTTCCCAAGGAACAGTGTTTCTGTTGTATTTCAGGTGACAACCAAAAGTTACTCAAAAGGTTTAGTAACTTGGATAATGACTTGAGAAATAACAAATAACGAAAAAGAAATGTCTGTTGTTTGCATCACTGAAATGGCTGCCCATACAGCAATACACCACTGAAGCACATGTAACAATTTATTATTTGGTCCCTCAGCCCTCTTCTATTCAAAATCGAGCATGTAGTCAATACAAAGATTGAGAAAAATTGACCTAGCATCTATCTCTACGTTCTGGGGATATTCTGTACTGGGTTGGCAGTAGCTCCACCAGGACAAAACCCCAAGTCCAAGGGCTCAGAGCCACTGAACACAGGTTTTACATGTCCACTACTTTATGGGCTTCAAGCAAAGTAAGCTGTGCACTTACGGTCCTTACTGTACATTGAGATAGTATGTCTATAAACAGGATTTATCACTAGAATAGCTGTATCAGTGTAATTACATTGGTACAACTATTCTCAACATAACAGGACCTTAAACAGAAATCCCTATGACAGGCAATGTTTACTGCTGGCCTATTTCTAAGATATCTGTTAGCTTAGTTCAAAAATCAGCATATAAAATATTCCTTGTTACTGTAAGTGGACAGTGATGATTATAGCTCAGTCTATGTTATTATTGCCTGATTTTCCCAGTTTGGGTTCTCACATATTGACTCCTTACTCAAGGTCTTTTAACATAGATTTGAAAGGTGAATATGTTTTATTTTTTCCCCAGTAAATATACAATACACACTTCAACAGTACTATTAACCAACTTTTTATGCCAATTAAACTTTGCTGCACTAACAATACCAATGAAACACATTAAGAGATCATACTTTTTCGTGAACAGACTGTAGCCAATAAACAGTTTTTTAAAAAAACAAATTAAAAAACAATTCTAAGTGCTGCCACAACATCCCTTTTCTTTAAACACATTATTCACAATAAATGTTTTCAATTTTTTAAAAAAAAGAAGAATACTTCTTTTAAAATAGTAAATTAAATGGCATTTTAAAAAATATGTACTGTGGTTCATTGGAAGTACACTGTATAGAAAAGAGAGAGAGAAAAAAAAAGAAGAGACATCACCTGTAAGATAATGGAGACACTTTGCGATACACAACACCACCTTATGTAATATTGTAAGCAAATTATTAATGAACAAAAATGTACAGAAGCAGATGGACAAGTTAGTGAATATCATGGTACTGCACAGCTTTAATACTGACACACGTTTACTTTCCAGTGGAAGAGATAAAACACGTATTTGAAAGTAATTGGGATGGCTTTATCAACGTCTAATGATACTGAATTTTGAATAGTATATAGTGAGTAAGGTGTTCCACCAAAGCTCAGCACAAGCGTTCGAATTAAAAGAAAAAAAAAAAAAAATCTACCGGTGACTGAGTTAAACATTTTCCAGAGAATTAAATTTCAATTGTACCCTGAATAGCCTTCTCTTCATATGATAATACCAAAATAAAAACCATACATATGTAAATATGATGCCTTCTTTATCTTGCTTGAACATTTTTGCACATTTTTAACTAATGGTTTTAAGTATAATGGTTTAACAACCATTTAACAATGGTTTAACAAACAGGAAAATTACATATATTCATTGGTCACATATATAAATAAATGCATACATTTTTTGTCTCAACTTTTTTGGTTTGTAACCTGCTAAATAACAGTCTTGACCTTAAGAAAGTTAACTAGCATTTTTTTAATATTCAATAGTGCTGAGTCATAGTTGATGGCTGTAGTGTTTTATCTTATCATGGAACAAGTTAATGAAATGAAAAGCAACACATACTTAGCATTGTAATTTACTTTTCTAAAATTCTGCCATTACTAAAAGTGTTCTTAATACTGGTGAGCTCCAAGGCAATATATAAAACAACATAGACTGGTTATAGAAAAAGGGTATTCAAATGGAAACTTGTGTTCATGGTCAGATAACTAACAGAAATAAGCTGTAGGATGCAATATTTAACTTAAGCATCAAATGAGTGGGCTATCCACATACAATATTCTAAGAAAAGTTTGACAATTTACTCATTGAGATTTGAGAGGTACAGAAGATTTGGACAAAGTAATGAAAACTAATGAAGAGACAGGATGCTGTCATTAATGTCCACTTACAGAGTTTGATTTATTCAAAAAGTGTATAAACATGCGTTATTTCCTCATCATAGTAGGGTTTGAAGCCACTCACTAAAACACAGGTCAAAGATTTTCCTTGCTTATCTCCAACTTTTTGGATGTATTGTATTGCCAGAAATGTAGTTAATGCAAGCCGAAAATAATTTGACCGTTGCTTTCCTTCCAAACACTAAACATTTTACTACAAATTTAGTGGATCCAGCTTCAGCTCTCACAGACTTCAGGTAACAGAACACAAAAGTTTGTTTAGACTGCATCAAAACAATTAATGTCATGAATTTCAGTGGTGCAGCTCTATCCTCTGTTGTACTGTACATGTATTGGAAAGATGAAATACGATACCCTGACATTTCAAGTTTTTGGAAGCAGCCTGAATATGTCTTAATAATAAATTGCATCCTTTACTACTTACTAGGTATTCCTTGAGTTTACATTGTTTGTTTCTCCTGGGAAATCTCTGCCTTATATTTTGGGTTGGAGAAATTAATGGTAATAATTCTTTTAAAACTGCAATATAAAACCAGCTTTAGTGAAACACCTTAAGTTCTTTTGTTTGTAGCAAGGTTTGTTTTTCTTCCCCTTTACTTAGTGGCATGGGATGGCTAAAAACAGATACTAAGGGCATCATGCTAGTGAAAGGGTCTAGGCCATCTCATGCTACCTGTAGGTTTCATATTCACTCTTTAATCTCACACTTCCAACTTCTGACCCCTTCTTAAATAGGAAAAGCAACTATGTTGCTTGCTTTTAAAAGATTTAACTCTGTCTCTAATGTCTTCACTGACATCAGTTTTGCCTGTCACTTTCTCATTTCTACACCCCAATGGAAAACCACCTAACATACTCCTTTACATCCAGCATTATCCAAAGTAGCTTACAGTACGTAAACCTTCACACATTCAGTCTCTTGTTTTCTTCATGTCATGAGGAGTAGAGTTTTGTGCTTATCACCAAATAAAATTGCAGTGCAAACTTTAAACATAAAAGTTACACAATTAAAAGTTAATATATGGCACCACAGCCTATTAATTCACATATAGTACAACAGACCAATAAAAACAGACATGAATATGAACATAGCTAAAAAGAAGGTGAGCTTGCATAGCAATGCAACAAAAGAAATTATATACAGAAGGAAATCCTTTTCATCCTGGAGGGTGATTTTTTTTTTCTTTCTTTTTTATATACTCCTGACAAGGAATAGTTTAAGGTGGATGGTGTATTAAAGAGAAGAACACAAGTAAATTATCTGTGGGGTATGTGTGGCTGTGTGTCTTTACATTGCATTTACAGTTCTTTTAATAGTACATAAATAAAGAAAATGTTCATTGCACTGTTTAGTGTCATCACTTCCATGAGTTCAGACCTGATGGTCCATCAGAGCAGCTTGCAATGTGTCTTCTCAACTACTCTATAGAGAGAAACAGAGAGAAAGAGGTTGTAATAAGGAGAGAAAACACAAAACAAAGCCTATGGCAATATTACTGTAGCACAGGATGAATATTCAATAGGTTGGGAGAAGAGAGTTAATTGCTTCTAAGTTGAAAAGTGATGGATGCTAAAATTCAGCACTTACGAACACCGTATCTGAGATAGCACATTTCAGGGTTTGTGGATCACCATTAGCTCTCTTACAAGCTACAGGCCAGTAACTGTCGGGACGTACTGAGGGTTTGACTGCAGCACATAGGAGGCAGACACATCAGCAGCTACACTGCTTTTACGAGTAAACATACCAGTATGCCTGAGCTAGCTGGGACATTGCTGTACTGCTTCAAACAACAGAGTCAAACCTTTTGGCATCTAGTACTACCGTCATGTACAGTGCATTAACATGCTTTTATACAAAGTTTAACAGATATTGAGTGATAATAGAAAAAAATTTGGAACATAATTCCTTTGGCCTGGGAAGTTGAGGAAAGAGTTGGGATATACAACTGAAAAACTGGGCTACACAGCTGAAAAAAGAGGACCTCCATCTAAGGTCAAAAAGAGCAGAACACTGCTCGTCAAGCAACAGGAAGTTAAAGAGAAGGCATCACAAGCTTGCCACCATGCCCAACAAATCCAGCACCTTTTTCATTCACTCCTCTGAAAAAAACTGCCAGTGGCATTTCCGAGACAAGCACACTACACTTTGCCAAGAAAATTCTAAGTTACTAGAATTTCTTTTCCATTTTCCCAGTGTTTCACTAGCATTACACGCTGAAAGATGTACTACGCAGGTGACATTGGCGTGGCTTACACAGATTTGAACTGGTCCAAACCAAAGAACATAGCAACTTCATTTGTTTGTCATCACAGGCATAACACTTCAAAGGCAAAAAGGTCTGGGTAAAATTCAATCTGATTATCACACTCAACTTCCTCCTCTCTTCACAACAGATTTATAATTTTTCTCTTTTTGTCTATTTGAGAGTTTGAACTGTAGCTAAACTTACATAATTCACCAGTAAACTGTCCTTGACTGTCTGATCCCACATAGCCTACATCGAGAAGGTCACTGGCATTGCGTTGGTGACCTCCTCGCAAGACTTCACCTTTTCTAGGTCCGGTTGATCCTTTAGAAGAAGCTGTTCCTGAAGAGCTGTGGCCGCCAGGGGATGGGAAGTTGGGTTTACTATATGGTACGAGCGCCTCTTCTAGAAAAGAAAAACAAAACAAAATAAATACCAAATAAATACCTATAAATCAGAATAATCAAGCTATTCTTATATGGACATCATATTCATTCCTGCCCTCAAATATCTATCTTTTGTCTTGCTTTGTAGCATGGCAATTTTACCTAAGAAAATACACAACTCGTGTTGTATCCCACAGACAAAGAAAATGGCATGAATTGCATCTTGCTTTCATGTAAACTCGTAAGTTAGTTTGTATAAATTATAAAAAGTCTAGATTCATTATGAAGTAATAGATCATGAATCATAGGTACTTTAATAAAATTTCCAAAACAATGCAGCTATGATTAGATTTTTGCTTCAAGCCTACATGAATGTGCTTTTTCCTTCTCTTTAGCTTAAATTATGGTAACATTATCTCAATCAATTTAGATAAAAAACTACAATATCAGCTAATTTAATTAGCTTCCAGCAGCTCAGTAATTTCTAACGACGCAAAGTACACTGAAGATTTTTTTAAATGGTTGTGAATTACATTGGAAAATATTATATTATACATAATATTAGTAGTTGTAATATTTGGGGTGAGTAAATCTTCCTGCAGCTTTTTTCATGTTCCGTTATGAGCAAAAGGCTTACTTTTGCTCACTTGGTCTCTTTCTTTGTGAAGACCTGTAATAATGAACTGCTTGTGAGAGCAGGATTAATACCAATAAAGCATGGGACTATACATCTTCATATAGCATGAAGTAAAACAAGACATCATATCTGATTAGAGTTTGCAGGAAATATTGTTGTAATAATCCTAACCTAAGAAGCAAAACAGCAGCACTGATTTAACACTGAAATAGAAATACGATTTTATTTCTTTGCTGTGTATGATCCACTTTTGCTGTCCCAGAACCTGAAGAAAGAGACCTTGCCAAATATGGTTTGATTCAAGAAAGAATGTGAGTATATATGCTTAACCTCAAACACAGGAATTGCCCCTTCTGAGATCAGTGGGCTACCTCCTGCTTCAATCTTCCATTTTTTAAAGTGAATCTGGGATGAAAGGGCTTTTTTTTAAGTTTGCTTTTCCCATTGTCTTCACTCTTAAACAATCTGATGAGGAGAAACAGACTTTCTTTGACAGAGGGCAGGAACACAGAAGGAAAAGTAGGTGGAGATGGTTGGAAAGAAAGAGGAGACAAAAATGCTTTTATTCACAATCTTGAAGCCTTTGCAAAGGCTGCAGCAGAGGCACAATTAACGTAGGAAAATGCTAAATGAGAACAAATTTGTGGAAGAAACCCAGGATTTCATTCTTTGTGCCTGCTGCCACAAGCGAGCAGGACATGGGAATTCCCCATGTGAGCTGCTATTGAACTGAACCCGTTTGTAAGGTAAATCTGTTGCAGAAAAGGGCAGGCAGCTGACTTCTTTCTCTGCCAAAGTAACTCCCTCTGGCCCTGCCCAAGGGACCAGAGTATTTGCGCTGCAGGAGGTAAGGGCATTATCAGTGTTTCGTGCTGTGACCGTGTGCTGTCCTTGCTGAAATAGAAAGAAATGCTTAAAAGACATAGTAAAATGGCATTTAATGGCCACAGCCTCCTAAATTATGTTACCTGTTCTTTATATATCAAGCCCTAACCATAGAATCAGATGCAAACCTGGTTTCCAAAGGCTGGCTAAAATATGGAACAGCTTGCATTAAGGCAGCAATAAAGCAAGCAGCATAAATCAGTTCAGCAGAAAGCTGGATACATTTTTAAAGGATGGAAAGAAAAGTCACTAGCATTGCAAAAGAGTTTGAAGATGACATATATGGTCAATTGATTTGTTTTTCTAGTTTGTGGACTCAGGATAAGGCCTCCTTCGGGTTCAATGAAATATTGAGAAAAACCGACCATGAATAAATATAAAGTGCATTATCATTATAGAGCATATGGTGTTAAATTATCTGTTGTGCCCTCAGAAATAAATGCAATCCATAAAATAAGCAATTCTGACATAAAATAAAGGCTAAGTTTTCCACAATATTCTAGCACATCAAAGGTAGTTGTCTCAAGTCCTTAGAATGGGTTCACATTTATTAAACACTCAAACCAGTGTTGCAGCCCCAGGCCTGCAAAGAATATGGGGAGGCTTTGCTGATGCCTTTCTCCGAAATACCGAGCTTTTAATTTGAAGATATAATTCTAGCCCCTGTGAAATAAGTATATATGTGTGTAACAATGTTTCTATACCCCATAAAATAACCAAAAGGATTTTAATATTGTCAAAACTATTGTAACTTGATCTAGCACTATTTTCTTTGGAGGGGCAGCTGAGAATGTCGTATTTGATGTGCTGTAACTGCGGTTCCACAATGAAGCCATTGGCAGAAACTCAGTGATCTTGTTTATACTGAAAGCGACCAGTGGAAACACGGTTCCCAGAATTAGGTATTTTTATTCTATTCAACTTCAAGCCAAAGGTCTTGCTTTCAAAATTTCACTCACAGCTTGGCAATGTCTGAATGAAGCCCCCTAAGCAGCAAAACAGCTATTTCCTGGAAGCTGATAGCTAATAATAATTCCTTTTGGAAATATATTGAAAACTGGGACAGAATAGATTTCCAGAGATCTTTGTCATTAATAAAGGAAAAGGGAAATATTATTAAACCCCCCAAATTTAGTAATATAAACAAGCATCACACACAAGAGTAGCCTTTTTAAATCTACCAGAGAAAAGAATACAGAGCGAGAAAGCTGTAGTGCAAGAAGCTGGGATGAGAATACAGACAGACAGATACGAAGCTCTGGCCCACCTTGTGCACAAACTTTATGAACCCCTCCCACCAGGGTAAAACTGTAATAGCTCCTAGTGGAATCCCTTGTCATGTATAAAGAACATGCAATTGCTCTGGACATCCTGAATTTGATAAGAACAAGATACCTGCAATCACTCCGGCCCTAAATTCAATGCTGGTGTAGGGCACTGGAAGTGTCAAGATCAAGTTCTTTTTATTTAAGGACAGATAAATGCAAGTCCCACAGGATGGGAATTTTACTACTGTGTACCCTCTGTATGACGGAATGACTGACAACTTCTATTTGTACACTTATGAAGCAGAGGAATAGGAGGTGAGTTCTTGCTAACCAGGTCACAGAAGGATCCTTAATAAAAATTTACAAAGAAATGAGATGTATTCGGGATATATTTCTATGTGTTTGTACATCTCATACATGGAATTAAAATTGCCATTTCACCAAATAGCATGAATTTCACACAGTATTTTTAAACTGCGACTTCACATCATCATTTCACAACATGAACAACCACTCACTTGTTTATGCAGCTGAAAGATTAGGGGGTTTTAACGGTACCATTTTTGTTACATTTTAAAATATGGATTGTATTTAAAATATTTAAATACGGGTAGCAGTATTTCCTAGGAGGACTTTATTCAGTAAATCCTGCCCCCATGACAGGTTTGCCTGCATAGTACTATTTTTCTTTTAGCATGTCATTGATATTGGTGTGCTAGATTAACAAGGAGCATTAATAGTAGAATAAAATCAAGAAAAAGGTGGCTAATACGAGTATCTCCAATGTTACTGTGGGAGTTACATACATACTTGAACAAACAGCGTAGCCCTACAGAAAGCTCCATGTACAGTATAATTTTTTTTTAATCTTCTTAATTGTCCGCTTGTATCACTCTAATCAGCACTGGGATAACATGCGATTAGTGGGTTAAAGAAAATACCCTGGGAAGGGGACCTGAAACAGCAGCTTTTACTTGAGGTCAGGCTGAGAGAAGGAATCTGCGCGTATTGTAGAACTACAACTCCAGCTCAGCGTTGCCTCCTGCATCCATTTTTACAGACTTGAAATCCATTTAGGAGATAAAGTCAGCACTCGGCAATGAGCAGGTCCTGTATAAAGATGAAAACCTGCATTGTCATCTTGCTGGGCCTAAGAGATGAATGTTACTTTGTCATATCCTTGAATAAGGAGAAGACAGTGTTTTAAATACAGCTGGAAGGAATGTCAGTTGCTCAGAAGTATCAACCTTCTTGCAGACATGCAAAAACAACTGCTGCCAATTTAGAAGCTGGTTGAAAGAACTAGAAAATATGGTCCTATATGTATAAATAAATACATCTAACAGAAAATACTCCAAAAATCTGTTCCTCTGTCCCTGCCTGCACGCAACTGTTCCTGTTTTTTCCACCGCTATGCTTGACAACATTATTAATTGCTGGAATACTGTAAGGAATGCACCGAGTTAGGTGCTAATGAGATTTCATTGTTGCAGGAGGAAAAATACTTGGATCACAAGGTCTCGTTTCACTTTGCCTTTTCTTATTTTCCAGCCTGAGCCTCACCAGTGCTGGCAGAGAGGGGCGTGAGGTGATCCTAGATTCCTGCCAGATACAGAAACCCTCAGCTGAGAAGTGCCAAGAAGCCGTCTGCATTGCCTCGGCTGGTGCAGTACACACACACCTGATCCGAAGGCTTGTTTGTGTTGGGCTTTCCTGAAATCCTCTTGGCGGTCTGTAGAGCTTATCCACTCCTGGGTTTGCCGCTGCCACTCTAGTGACGTCCTAGCTTGCCGGTCCAGGGAGCTCTTTGTTTCGTCTATGTTCGGTGCATGCTGCCTCTCAAGAGAGCTTCCTTTCCTCTCTGCCGAGCCTCCGCGCTGGCCGGGGACTATTTGCTGCCTTAAACCCTGACCAGGGGGCGGGTCGGGTGGTGGTGGAAGATCTAAAAAACGTGAATAAGATTTAGATGAACTACTATTTTAATGGAAACAGAAGGTCTATTTGATGCTGAAAATAAAAGTCCCTTGCAAACGGCACGAATCACTTCATTTGCTGATTTTGAAAGGAGGAAATTTCATGTTAATCAGAAATGTTTTTTTACCTTCCACTAGTTTTTTACTCAGGTTACTGTGTTGCTAGCTCTTTCTAACTTCCATAAAAATCAATAGACTGTGAGCCCTGACTTACATTGCTAAGCATGGGATTTGTTTTCTGTGGGGTATACTCCATCTGGCTCTTTCAGTAACAGCAAGCAATTAAGAAAGGCTGTGAAAAACTGATCTGTACCAGTTGAGTAATTTCCCCCCATCATATTGGGCCTCGCTTCATGACCCCCATTTTTGGGCTTCACTTTCAGCTTGAGGCTTAAACTCAAAATCTAAATAAACAACTTTATCAAAATGCATAAAATTCCACAAAATCGTGGGGAAAAATTATTCACAAAACCTACTGTCATTGAAAAAGCATCAACACATCTGTGAAAAATCCATGTTTAAATGGAACCACCAAACAACGGGTGAATGTTTTATTCAAGCACTATTTGAAAGTTCAGCCAAGAGCTAGTGTCTTCACAGACAAGAGGATGGCCACTCTTAATTTTAGCTGTCTTGCAAATATAACCAAACAAAATACAATTTCAGCTGAACACCAAAAGACGCTTGCCTGGTTTCTAACAACTCTTGGTCTTTTTCAAGTTTATGACTTGGACTACGAAGATGCTTGTAGAATTGAAGATCAAGCTTCTAATCACATTTGTGGAGGCAAAAGTACATTTTGTTTATTAGTCCTTGACCCAAGGTAATTACAGAATCTGGATAATCATAATTCTAAATGTAAGATTTTCCTGTAAACTATATGACAGACTTATAACAGTCCATTAAAAAAAAAAAAAAATCAGAGAAGTGCCTTTAACATTGTAATGAAAACTTTCCCATATAGGATACCTGGTTTATATGAAGAACACTTGTTGATAATTCTGGGTTTGAGCAATGTATAGCCCAAATAAATCTGTGCAGCTGCACCAACTTCACTAAACTTATGTTAGTTTACACTAGATATGGGTCTGTCCTGCCTTCTAGTCTTTTGTATCTTACAGTGCTGTCAAGGTTTGTCAAGGAATTGAACTTGGCTCAATAAAAGGCATGGAAAAGTAAACCTTTGCTTTTCCTGCAGGAAAGTCTGACGTTTATAACTCTAGTGAAACTGAAATTAATTTTATAAACTGGTGAGGAGGCCTTTGGAATGAATTTATTTTGAAGGCTGTAATCCAGCTTTATATAATGCTACAGACTTTTTTTCATGTCCTTGCTGTTAGAGGTGATACTTTTATCTCATATGTGGGGCAGAAATTCTTCCAAAGTTGCTGAGATGTCATTCCAGTCAACATTGTCTCTTACAGATAAATGAGGACGTGTGGGTTATTTGTGTCTACAAGAGAAAGAAGTTGTATCTGATGTTGCTTCCATACCTTTGTTCACAGCTGAAGTGCTATACCCCAGATTAAGATATCTGTCTTCTGGCTAGAACAGCCTTATAATAATCTGTCAGTGAGCTTGGTGTATGCTTTATGTTCAGCACTAATTTATTTGAGAAATTTTTAGTTATGAATATAGATGTGACCTTTCATGACAATGACTATACTTGAGTTACTGTAGGTGGAAGCGGGAGGGTATGGGAGCTTGCCAATGTTAAAATTGCTTTATGGTGCTGGCTTCCAAAACGGCATTTCTTATAATTGATTTTATTGCGATCATAACCAGTTAATGTACAGAACCACAACACTGGCATCTGCTTATGCAATCTGAAATAGAGATTACTGAAGTTGTGATTTATAAGCACTTTATGGAGATGCATTGAATCCAATAAACACAGTCATAACATGACATCTGACAATGCAATTTTCCAAGATAAAATATTTACCGTTCAATATAAACAAAATTTTAAAGTAGTATCATAGCAAAAAAAAAAAAGTTTAAATTACTGCGGTATTAAACTTCTTAACATACAGTACCCTTCTTCAGAAATTGCCATCTAATAGTTGTTATTAATTAGATACTGAGAAGGAAAGAAGGTTTGTACTTAAACTGTACTGCATGTTCTACAGCTAGCTGCAACTCCTGGAATTACTGCAGACTTATGCTGATCTACTGTTAACCTGATTCTTACTTTTATCCATCCGCAAAACGGGCATACTGATTGCCTGATGCATAGAAGTGAAATGAAAAACCATTTTGTAAAGTTCTTGGCGTGTTTTAGACCTGTGGATGAATTGAAATGAAAAATAAAATTTAGCTTCTGATGAAGCTTCACACAATTCTAGAAGAATTACAGGTACTACGCAATTAATGCAACCTGGCTGCAGCCTGAGTACAGACTTACTGTGATAGACATGTCTGAGAAGATCTGCAAGAACAGTTACTAATTCTAGCCAACCATCACTTGACTAAACCGTTTGCTTTTTCACCTCCTTATTGATTGTCACAGTAACACTTACCTTTCCTTTTTAATAAGAGCTGGAAGAGAGCTTAATTTGGAAATGTGGCTTTTTATTTGCTCTACAACTTAAATCCTGTAGTGCAGATCTTCTGCCTTAGGTAAATTACTAAATATGCTCTGTGATCTTGCCTGGGCATATACAAACACCTCATGTAGCTGGAGTCACGAGTTTCCTCCTCCACTGCCACAGAGAACAGTCTTGCCTCTTCTCTCACTTCTCAGCCAAACATGTCCATATGTGACTGTGCACGTGTCTTCACACACACTTACTAGTATGCATATAAACGATGGTTAATGGTTGGCATTTCGGCTGCTAGTAAAGGGGTAACAGAGATCAGGCAAGTCAGTAGTCTCAGTCCCTAAAAGACAGACTTATTACCACATAGGGCCACGCCAACTCATTCCATCATGTCAATCACTTCAAGGAAGTTTTGAATCTGCAAATTTAAGGACTTCAGC